TCAAGAGTATGCATATTACCTAATAGGGTTTGAACCTTAATATACACTAGTATCTTACTGGTATTACACATCAACACATTAGCATCCCAAGGCTTAATGTTACTTGAGAATCTAGCACTGCTTGAGATTTTAAATGAAATAATTATTAGTTCATCAACATCATCATCAACAGCTATTAATAGTCCACTGCTGGACAAAAGCCTCTTCTTAAAAAGGAGGTTTTGGCCTACTTTACCACGCTGGCCAGACGGGTATAGGGTTTGTGTCAAGTTTTCCTTCTCTCTGCAGTGCTGTTGTCTTGCATAGTTTGCTTCCTTAGTCGGCTCCTACTACACCTACGGGATAAATAGGGGTCGTGACATTCCGTATTCTTAATCCGTCACCACACGGATAGTTGTACCTATATTATTATTATTCTGTGTTTTTAAATATATTTATTAGTATACTTGCATACTAATCACTTAAAACTAAAACTTTATCAACAACGAAGTTACAGAGATCGAACATGTCTAGAATGGCTAGCAAAACACGACATCAATAATCTCGCAATTATTTATTTTGTTGTCCAACTTGGCCGGGGCACTGGCGAGCCCCAGGTAACGTTCAAAAATAATGTGTTGATTGCAATGTTGTTAAATAGTTCGTGGGATGTTACCGACCATGATAGTTAGCGTTCTAGATTTCAGCATGATTTTATTGGTAGAGTACTCTACATAGGCTAATGATCACTAATACCTAAGAGACTACAAGTTTCTTAGGTATTAGGCGGACATCATTTAAAAGTTTTAAAGGATTTAAAAAAGAATGGAAAGCTTCATGCTTCTATTTGAAGTGAAAACTTCTGTAGCGGCGTTGTACACTTTTTTGTTTTTTTTTTACATTAGCAGCCTTTAATAGTCAACTGCTGGACATAGGCCTCTCCTTAGAAAGGAGGATTTGGACTACTTTTTTGTAATGGGTAAAAAATGTTAAACTCGCGTCAGGACACGTGACCTGATCGAAAATTCGTGAGACGGATGGAGAGTAGACAGCCGACGCGGCGTAGGAGAGGAAGTATCCCCCTCTCTTTCCACGGCGCGGCGAAAATGTATGCCCGCGTCTGCTGTTTCGTTTTGGCTGCGCAGGGCGCTTGCGCGAATGTTCGTGTGTGTCAAAAATGCACAACGTTAATATTCAATTTTTCTCTTCTGCCGGCACTCCCGGAGTGCAACCCGTCGTTTTTTTAACTTATTCATATACCGTAACTGGGTACTTTGAACTATGAGACTTTGATTGACAATTCCTATTCCCATAAAAATTAGAATTACATAAAATGACACGACGAACTTAGATGTTAATTCATTAAAATTAACACTGATGAGCTGTAATATCTTTTCTGAAGGGGGTTAAAACTTGTGGCATTTTTATTAATAAATTTCTTCCAGTTCGATTTTTTTCTCAATTGCTTTGCAATAGTAAGTAATCGGGGCTATTTTTAAATTCTATGTTAAAAACGAGGGTATCAAAGTAAACCCAAAATCCTTGTAACTTTGGCTGACATGTCTGCCAGATTCTATTTCTAGAATACTTAGGAGGAGTGGTCAAAACAAAATTTATATAAACACCAAAAAAAAATACCAATTTATTTATCTTCAAGTTGTTCGGACATCGGAACTTGACAAAATCAGATCAAAACAAGCCCGTCTCAATTCCCTGCAAAATACATGCATAGTACTAATTTATTCTCCGTCCATGGCAACCAATAACCCAGATCCGAGGAGTCATCTCGATAGTTCTTCAAAGCCCGGTCACCGTGTCAAGTGCCACGGGAGATTAGCCCTACGATTGCTTGCCGGGTGCTATGGAAGAGGTCGAGATGCAAACGTTGCAGTAAGACCGACTTTTGCTTTTTATTTATTTATAGGAAACCGTTTTGTAAATCTGTGTGGTCAGTTTGTAGTTAGTTTGATTGATCAAGTTTTGCTTACTATAAGTTGAACTAAGTTCCTATCTAGTTTGATTCAGTTTTGATATTGTTTCCAAACTTATTAATTTCGAACAACGAATCAAACGATGGATGAGATATAAGAGAAATGCTTCGGCAGACAAGGGCCGTCTAGACCAAAGTGATACCACGGCGTCACAAAAACCCAGTTTCAAGCAATTCTTTCGCGATTTTGCACTGAACAAGTGTGGTTGCTTGAGGTTCAACCATAACGCACGGCCGGCAACGCACTCACCATCAGGTCAAACTCGAACTCAAATTCAAAATATCTTTATTTCATAAATAAATTCAAACTTTTCGAAATCGTCTTTAATGTAGACTCTAAAGTTGTAGATCAACACACACACACACATTAGCAACAATCTCTATTTTGTCTCATAGTTAGCAAAATAAATTTAGTAAAAAATATCCAATCTACCACCGTGCGTTTCCAATGGGTTGAGCTTTATGAGAAGAAAGGGCAAACAAACTCAAGGCCACTCTTTTGCAATGACGATCCGTCTGGTCGTTTGCCGCGAAAACTATAAACAAAAAACAAAGAAGTTTCAGTGTACAGATACACTGTGTGAGTTTACGTGTGTATCTGTGTTTTCGAATGTTTTAATATTTTAAACATCCTCTGTAAAAACATACTCGAGCAGTCTGGAATTCAAGAGTACAAACTAACTTAAATTAATTAGAAATTAATTAAATTCGCATCTGAATTCTAAATATGTCGGGAGTAAAACTGTTAAAGGATTTAGTTTAATAAACAATATACAATATTGATGTTTAATTAAAACCTCTATTGATTGACTAACTTTGATTGGGTAAAACCCTAATATGTAAAATACTTATTCATAAAATAATAATAATATATTCACACATTTCACACACGGCCGTCTGATCCCAAACTAGGTAGAGACTGTACTATGGTAATCAGACTGCTGCTAAACATGCTTACATTTTTTTACATACATAATATAGATAAAGTACACCCAGACACAGAACAAACTAACGACAATGCTCATCATACAATTATTTGTCCTGGGTGGGAATCGAACCCACGACCTCTGACATAGCAGCCAGGGTCACTAACCACTAGACCAACAGGCCAGTAAAGTCCAGTTAATATTTTTTCTCACATTATGGTAACTTGTTTATGGTATAGATAGAAGGTAGATAAGCACACGGGTTACTATCACCCATGGACACATGTCCATGGGTGATAGTAAGTGGTTACCATCACCCATGGACACCTATAGCTAAGGAGTCACAAGTGCGTTACAGCCATTTAAGTCTCTAAGATCAGGGTTTCTGGTAACCTTATTTACTCGGTGAAAAGCTACGAAAAGATTACTCAACACCAGTTTTCTGTGAAGCCGTGTGTGCTAAGGCATGGCACGTAAGCTTGTAAAAATAAGTAGGTGTGCTTTTATTCATCACAGTGTAAAAACAATTTTGTTGCAAATAACCGAACTCAATGCACCTACATTGTGATGAAAACTGTGATAAACTGTATTTTTCATTAATTAATTTGAACCCTTAAATGTGATTTTTAGTAAGCGGCTTGGCGACCGCTTAAACCGCGATCGCGCTATTCACAATATTCTTATTTATTCAAAGCCAGTCTTCATTTTAAAGGAAAGTCAATTTTCTTCGACCTTAAAGCTGTTAGCTTACCAGACAGCTTATTTCAACCTAAACCACAATACATATAAAATCTTTCTTATTCTAAAAATCAAATCAAAAATTAATAAGTTTAGACTTGAACGTAATTTGCATAAAAATAAATTACATAAACCTACAGTCCGATTGCAATATTTCTTAGTGACCTTTATGTTGTATGTCTAAATGAATTTCTAAGCAGTAGGTAGTACAGCTGTATCGCGCAACTGAAATATTCAGCGAGGCCGCGAATACATAACATTATCAGATCATGTAAGTGTCTGTTGTTATGCTGATTTTCTCGGTAACGAGCAAGTGGGCGGATTTGTATTATAATTTTAAATGTATTACAATCTAGTAATATCGTATTAAGTGGCAGTCTATCTTTTTAATCAACTAGAGCCGGCAGTGGCACGTGGAGCCTCCTGTCGGGACGACAAACGAGACATCGTGGCTCGGCGAGCGGCCTCACCACATAAGCCGGCTCGACCGGAGTGATAACTGCCTCATAGAAACCAGAATTTAAAAATTATACGCTTCTTGTCACCGGCTGACTACGAGTACAGGTCCACTTTGCACTCAAAGGGTGGCATCACACTTGTCTCTTGAGTTGCATTTGTCCATGGCCGGGTGAAGTCACTTGCTACTCGTATCTGGTGACCAGAATACTCGTTTACCTCTGTACCATAAACAAATAGTGACTGTTTGATTTTCATTAATTTATTCTGCATTGTAATAGAAGTTTGTCTTCCAACCGTCTTGGAGATGAAACTTGTCTATCCAAGATAACCCTACTGACGTAGCCAGTTGATTTCAGATACCTTCCGAGCCTTATTTCCTTATTTATACGATACGGCTGAACTTCAATCAGAAATCTTCTGTGAAAGACTGTTGTTAGACTTGTTAGGGTATCGACTATCCGTGACGATCGCCACTATGTGCGTATGGCAACCGGGACCGACCACCTATTCATAGACTGTGGCGACATCAACTAAACAAAAGAAATCAAAGCATACGGTTCGACTTCTTTTTTTTGTTAAATAGACAACTCCCGCATTAGGAATATATCCTGTGTCGCGGGGGACTTTACAAACATACATGAAACGGACAGAAAGAACACCCAGACTCAGAACAACAATTTATGGATCACACAAAATGTCGTCCCATGTGGGGTTTGAACTCACAACACAGCGGCGTGGCGACCCCTTAAACCACTACGCCATCCGTGTGTCTTGATGTTTTGACGTCGTCTGCTAAGTCTAGTATAGATAGATATAAATTTCGAAGAGATTTTTTAATATAGGTAAGATATAACATAATTAATGTAAATATAATGTTATTATAAACACCTTATTTTTTCAATATTACGATGAGTGCGATAGCAAAATCCTATAGATTTGTCGATCAACCACTTTCTGGTGTTCACTCCGTAGGGATAAGCACCATCGCCTGGTGGAACGTGTATATAGTCCCCTATAGATATGTATCCCCTGTGTATAATGCTAAAGTTAAGACCTCAAGTCTCGCAAGAGCAATTGGACTAAGACTTCAGAAGCCCAAAGACGCTGGCGTGATCATAGAGGCCACCAGGACAGAGATATCAATACCTACAAAATGTATCACCAGAAATTGATTTATAGCTTAGCTTACACTGGCTGGGATGTTCGAAAAGAATCCACCGGCTTTATCCCCTGGGCTGTAAAAACTCACACTAGGCTTTTAGCAATAAAAACAGTTACGACCACTATTACCCAATCACATTATTTGTAACTGAATCACACATTATAAATAGATAGTCTGGGTCCGTAAAAGTCGGCGCACCGTAACCTAAAAAAAAAACAGTACTCCATGCTGCCATACTTATAAATCATCATCATCATGGGGTGCCATCCTCAAAATGAAGTTTGGAGGTCAGCAGACGGTACACCTCCTGTAGTAAAAAAAAAAAAAAATAAAAAAAATAATAAAAAAAAACACACACAACAACACATACACAAAAAATACAACAACAACAACAACACATACAAAACAACAAACAAACAACACATACTTTTACATTTATAAATACTTATAAATGTAAAAGTGAATTTGCTTGTTTGTTTATTACGCTTTCTTTCTTTAACCAATGGAAAGCTATATTATCAACGAGTAACATAGGCTACTTTATACTGCGATAACCAACATACATGCGGGCGTAGCCACGGGCAAAAACTAGTGTGTTATAAAGTTAAGAATAATTAGGTAAAAACAAAACAGTAAATATTTTGACTTGTCATGAAATAAATCGCTGACAATGCAAGTTGTAGTGGTCGATAAAACGAATCGAAACATACTAAACAGATGAAATTCAACTGCCAGAGTTATCTCTCTTACTAAATAAAACAAAATAACAAAGACTATATCCTACGAAAAGATAGCAGATCACTATTTTTCGGTATAATAAATCGAAGATGTAACCCTACTAACAGAGGGCATTGACATATCAAATGCTTACTCAAAACAAAATGACCTATTAAGTACTCTTTCCATTCCTAAAATAAACAAGATAAGTGCCATTCATACGTAGGTATGACGGCTTTACAAAATATAAGCGTTACTCAAATTAAATTCAAGCTCCGCTACCTCTCGGGATCAAATTATCATACGCTTTGCACCTGCACTCAAATTCACATTTACTTAGACTGTCACTAACTGGTTTTTAATTAATGTAAGTGTCACTTTATAGTACAACGCCGTTTGGATGCAGACGAGCAACTTTTAGTTGCCTGATTAGTTAAAATTATAATCTAACTTTAGAAATAGTACGTAGGGTCTAGTAGCTGTAATAACGTCACTACTAAAAAACAAAATATACAGGCAGATATGAGTTGTAGTAAACAATTTTTCCATTTCTGTAATTATGAAAAATGTCACAATCTCTTCTAAAACAATTCTAAGGACTAAATATGCAAATGCCACACAAACGGTGGTAATGCCAAGAAACTTAAAGAAATTTCAAAATTAAGAAACGATTTTGTAAATAAAAACCAGTAATTAAATAGCACTTTTAACTTTAGCACTTTATTAAAATTACACAATAATTTGCAACTGACAATTATTTTATGTAAACAATACAGTTCGGGAATTATACGAGTTACATTTTTCTGTTTTTTCGTAAGATGTTTCTATTTCTAACTAGCCGCGCCCATCGTTTTCATCAAGCACCTGTGCTCTCATAAGTTGTAGCATGATTTTACATAGCCTACAATATTCCTAAGTGGCTTCCTTCTTATGTTAAACTGATAGCTTCAGAAGTTAGCACCTTTAAACAAACAAAGAAACTTAGAACTTTTCCGCTTTATTATATTGGTTATTATTGAGACTCATGTTCTTAACACATAAAGTTGCTAGTCTGTATAGTGGCACCCGTCAGACTAAATGCTTAACACTTCTGTTCCATTATCTGAGTTCTGTATTTCCATTACTAATGCATGCTTTCAGATACAAACCAGTGTTTGTTTGTTTCATCTTATTGAATAAAATGCCTATAATATTTATGTTCATTGTTTATTTATTAAATTAGTATTGTTAGATTAGTAGGCTGTAAGAGAGTTGTAATATAGGAACCTTTTAAAAGACTAGACTGTAAATAAAATTGAAACCAAGTGTAGAAAGGCGTATGTTATCACTTGCTGATATATATTCGAGTATATGACTAAAGTTTTTGCCTCGCACCACCAGTCTGTGAAGCAAAAATTTCGCCTGCAGTATTCCCGGTCTGATACGACCTGCAAAACACAAAGAAAAGATAGTCAAAGACCGGTGTGTCTCCTGCACAAGCCCATTACCGGTCTTTAGTTCTGGTCTTGTGACTAACCATGATGTTCATGGGTAGTCACTTTCCATCAGCTTGTCTGTTCGTTTAAACCCTATATCATAAAAAAACTTACTAGTTCTAGTGTCGGATAGACGTTTTATCGGCATTCAAAAGAAGTACGAATACGTAATTAAATATGCAGAGTTGTGCTAACAGACGCTTTGCTCTAACTATCATTTATAAGGGATATTTACCATGCTCAGCAATTTTTATCACTCTCAAGCATGCATGTAGAACACGTACTACGAATTTAATACGCTCTTTTGTGGTATATAATAAACTACAGACGTTATAGATAGAAGTTTTTATTTTAAACTGTTCATTTTCATCAACAGCGTTTAATAGTCCACTGCTGGACATAGACCTCTCCTTAGAAAAAAGGTTTTGGCGTACTATACCATTCTGGCCAAATGGGTCAGTACAAGATTTGTTTCAAGTTTTTCTTCTTTTTGCCGTGCTGCTGTCCTGCGTAGTTTGCTCCCTTAGTCGGCTCTTACAACATCCACGAGATGAATGGTAGTGGTGACACTCCCTATTCTTAATCCGTAACCACACGGCATTATTCCGCCATATATTGACTGTCATTTGACACAAATTTCGTTAGGGTTAGTGTGTCTATTGTAATGAAGAATAAAGACTTACGTTCGCCAGAAAAGAAAACAACGTACTAATGTACACTACATATAAGTTACAAGCTTTTTTAAATTTGTAACATGATGTTAAGTCAAACCAGTACCAATATATAATTTGCACTAGTTCTTGAGCATGATACGTTGTTGTATTTCAAAAAAGGTACCTGGAACCGGCTGTCGAAAAAAATATACTCGACTTCAACGAATATTGAATTACAAATCATGAATTTACTTGTATTAATAGAGTGTTAGATTTCTCATTAAGTTAGACACAAACAGAATGTATCAGGTTAACTTGACGCGAGTGGTTTGGTAAGCGTTACTAACAATACTTGGCATCGAAACATACGAGTACATATTATGAAATTCAGACAGAATTTTTAAATTGATTAAAGTTTTAAAACTTTGTCATTTATAATTAAAAAATGGACATATCTTCTTTACAATTAGTACCAAATGACCAATTAAAATTTCCGTTTTTTCACTAAGGCAGGGAACTTCAAAAGCAGTTTGTGATTGTGAAGCTTAAAGAATCGATTCAAGGTTATGAAGTAAATAAACTACGAACTCCTCTGTAAAATGTATGTAGGAAATTGTGAACAAATGAATATATTTCTCTTTAATATAATTGTGTATTTTGTAATGTATAAGTATGTTTATCAGTAGCCTAATACAGGCTCTGCTTAGTTTGAAATCAGGCGACCATGTGTGGGGTATTTCAAGTTAGTGTATTTAATAAATGTTGTAAGTAATAAAACTTAATCAGAGTGCGTGGGGAATTTATGCTCGATTCTAAGTCACTAAATTAAGAACCGTTCATATTTGATTATTGACGTGACAACGTCTTATAAATTGGTTTGCCGGGTGACACTTCAAGAAACTGCGTTACGCTCCGCTCACGTTATGCGCTCACAATGAGAGCGAGTGAGAGGCACGCGTCCCTTCCAATCGGGCATGGTTAGCCCGCCTAAGAGCGAGAGAGACAGACATAGTCGTTGTCACGTAAAACTTTCGCCCGTATACCGACTTTACAGGCAACCAATTTTTTAAAGGCGTCGGTATTCATTTTCATTTATATTCTTTATTCTTGAAAAAATACGTTCTAATAATTATAGTTTTAAGAACCATGCACCAGTGGGTTGAAATTCGTCTCGCAGGCAAGAATCCACAATACCATAAAGAATAAAAACTCTTGCCCACAAAGCCAGTGATGGGAGCCAGGTCAGTATTGTTTTTTTTTTCGTCTTTCTTTTTCAAAGCGGTTTTTTCAAGTCTTAAATAGATCTAGCTTTTAAAGGTACGTCTTCAATGCTTAATAATTATACAATACATACCTATACACTGTCGATGTCGCTGTCTTGGTGTAAGAAAATATAAAATCGTCCGAGTTTCGTCAAGAAAAGTTGAAAAAACATTTAGATTAGTACATTAAATATACAGTTACACGAACAGATAAAAGCAGACATTGACTACAAGTAAAATTGTAACGCTTCGATCATTTGACGTATACTGCACGAATGGTGTAGTGGTTTAAGCGGTCGCCACGCCGCTCACTACTACACTGAGTGTTGTGGGTCCGATCCCCACATGGGACGACACTTTGTGGGATTCACAAATTGTTGTTCCGAGTCTGGGTTCTTTGTGTCCGTTTCATGTATGTTTGTAAAGTCCCTCCGCGACACAGGATTTGTACCTAGTAAGGGAGTTGTCTTTAAAAAAAATTTGGTCAAATATCGACCATCTTTTTCACTTTTATGGCCGATAGTAAATAAGACTAACCTTTTACTTAATACAGTATAGGCTATCGTATAACTTATATAAGACATAACCAAAATAAACATTCGATCCTGTATCCTTTTCCAATCCGCACAAATAAACGAAACAGAAGATACTCTTAAGTATGGCTTATAAAAAAAGTCAAGTAACTTAATCTAAGTTAGGCCGTTGTATGATTTTTATAGGCCTTGTTATGATAACAAACAAACAGGTTTTTTTGTCTAAGAAAACAATACCTTCTATTTTATTATTAGAATTTCAAATTAGGGGCTTCAGACACAGACTATTTTAGTAAGTGATTATCTACGCCCATGGACCAATGCAACCAAAGAGACAGTGTGTTGCCGCCCTATCAGTGCAGCCTCCTAG